TTATTTTACAGTTAAAATAAATGTTTATCAAATAAAGTCTAATGTTACAACTAATCACGGATCCCTTTAAACTTTTCTTTTGTTCTTTTCACTTTCTTTCTGCCCTCTTCAGCTTTTTCTGCTCTTTTCAGCAATGTTTTTACTCCTTTTACTTTTTATATGCATTGTTTTGCAGTTTTCAGCTATTCTCCGCCCCTTGAAGCTTTTGTTTGGGTTCTTCAGCAGGTTTCAGCAATCATTCTGCTCATTTTAGGTTCCACCCCAACTGCTACGTTTCAGCAAGCACCAACACTTCAGTTTAGTTTAAAAATATTTCGGCTYCTTCTGCCRCTTTCAGCTAAATTATTCAGCAATAAYCATTCACACTGCATTTTTTTTCAGGAAATGCGGTTTCTCTTGTTATTTGTTTGCTTAAAAATGTGAAAAAGGTGTGTGTGTTGCTGCAGACTTGAAAGAAAAACAGCACATCAGGTTCTAATGGAGCAATAAACATACAAAGTTTCATTTCAAAGAMAGATAAGTAGATTTCTCCTTTATGTTTTTTCCTCTGCAAGCAATGATTATAATCTTTGGTGACTAACAGAAGCAGAAATCGATCATAATTCTGTTAACAGTAGCTTTCTGTCTGAAGACGACTTCTATCTCTGTTTTTATTATTTTATTTTGTTTTATTTTTATTTTGCAGAGATCTGCAGAGGATTGGAGTGTCTCTTGCCGGACACCAGAAGAAAATACTGACCAGCGTCCAGTCGATGAGGCACCACGGTGACGACCAGTCTCCTACTGAATCTGTGTAGCCTCACGGAGACGTGACGCTGCATGGAAAAACGGGACCAGTGTGAGCGAACAGGCTGTTCTTCCACACTTCTGTTTCAGCCACAGAAACCCAAGTTTACCACTTCTGAAGAGTCTTCATTTCACAACCATCGGGGCTGTTTTGATGAATGGTTGGATCTGTCTCAGACGTAAAACTCGAGGCTTTTATCCACCAAAATTGGGGAAAATCTCCTGAAATTTAATGTACCAGGATTATTTGCTACACAAACTTTAAAAAAAAAAACACACACACACAACATTGGGGAAAATTAAAAACTGCTGAGTTAAAAATCACCCAAACTCTGCTTGCAGGACAGCTTTGATTTCACTGAGCTCCACAAGCCATCTGCACCTGACTGATTAAAGGAAGACAGGGTGAGTTTTCTTGAATAAAAAAAAAAGACAAACACGCTGAAGATGCTACGACTGGATAAACTGGACCAAAAGTTGGACACGAAAAWGTCTCTGGATGCAAGACGAGCTCTTGTTTCTTCCAGCATGTTGTGTTTGTGAGTACTTCAATGTGTTTGTGAAAATTGCTACAATTTGAATCTGGAGTTTGTTTTTTGTTTTTTTAAATGGGACCTTTTGCGATCTATCTTCACATTGAAGAGTCTGTACATAGTTATATTTGGAAAGTTTTATTTTCCTCCTGCTCCTGCTCATTTATTTGAACTTTTGTCCAAAAGTACCGTTTTACTGAAGTATTTGTGACCTTTTAAGTGATAATCTCTACTTGACTCATCACTGGCACAAACTTTGAMGTGTTTGTCGACTGTAGATAAAAAAAAAATCCTTTTCATTCATTCTGACAGCCCGGCTGACCTAAACTGCTTAATTCAGAAAGAACTTACCCCTAATTTACACTACATGTGTTCCGGCTCCGCTCCGCTCCGGTCCGACCTCTGCAGCAAATACACACCCGTTATAAACAATGAGAGTGTTTACACTGGCTGTGCACGGCGGTGGTGAGCGGACGACGATCCGGCAAAATTARACCAGATCCTATTTTTGCCGGACGACGGAGCAGCGCCGGAGTCAATTTTTAAAGATTACGTCGCACCAACAGGAAGAGAAACGAGCACAACATCCGTATTTTCAAAATAAGACACTATTAGGTAGAATAATTTGTCAGAATAATGTCAAAATCCCACCTATATTAATAAATATATGGATATATTTCTACACAAATGCTGTCAGAATGTATCGTTCTGTTTGGGAAGCAGATGGAAACATGTAGCATGAAGCATCTGTGTACACACGATACACGTGGATTTTATTTTGAAATCAGAAGTTTCAGAAAGACGACAGACAGTTTCAACATAGATACCAAAAGTCTTTATATCGTTGTTTTCAGCTGTGTTTGGAGTTCGTCTTTCACAGAATTAATTTTTTTTTTGCTGTGACTTCCACATTTATCACTGAATTTATTGCACAATCTCCTTCCTCCACACTCTCTGTCGGACCGGAGCGGAGCGGACGCTGTATAAATTGAGACACAAACGAACAGCTGCGACCTGCGCACCGCGGAGCCGGAACGCATGTAGTGTAAATTAGGGGTCAGATGTTTTTTTTGTTCAAACTCAAACACTCTTCGAGTCAAGATCTATGGCAATACAATCAGAAGAATAAAAGTCAAGTCATGAGTGTGTATTTTCRGGCTAAGAGGTAATTACGAGGAGTATTGAAAAAATAAAATAAACCTAACGAACTGTGTGAATGGAGACAAAAACAGCTTCAAAGACTTTGTGAAGTCCAAAGAATGTCCGAAGAGATCGTCGGTGTTAACGCGGAAACCCAGCGCTCGTGTTCTTGTCCAYGCTCGGAGCAAATCTCATTCCTGCCGTCCAGATGGCAATCAAATCTGCAGCAGGCGGCCCGGCACAGTCCTTTTGTCTTCATTCATTATTTTTTCATTCCCCGGCCATCCGGACGTGTCTTTGTTGTCKGCGTGTGTTTTGACCGTCTCAGCTCCAGATTGACACCTCTGATTAATGCTGTTGTTCCAGTTCTCTGATTAAATAAGCCGTGGTGGCCTATCCTTGGGCTCACCTTTTCAACGCATCCCTAGGCACGTTAGATTTGACGCGTAACAGATTTTACAGGAAAGACAGTTAAAAACAACTATTTCTCATACGTCAGCACTTGACGTGATGTTTGACTCCCTGGTCTTTCTGCGGGGAGGATCACCGGAGAAACACTTTTGTCTCAGCTCTGCCTTCAGCCTGAACCTCTGCACCGACATCCCGAGGATTACTCGACAKTCGCCCTGATTGGATGTTATGATTTCATTTTTCGTTGGCCGAGMATCCGGCTCGCAGTGACAGGAAGTGAAAGTGTTTATTCGTTTGCTTTTACGGCGGCGGAACATCATGTTTGTGTTTCTTTCGCCTYGCCGCTCTCCACTGCAGGGACGTTTAAAAGTTGTTTTTTTTTAATAGCGTTGTGACATTGGAAGGTCTGAAACCATCCAAATATTTCAATTTCCACTTTTTTTTCCCCCTGAAACTCTTCTCTGACGGTTGCATTTGCTGCTTGGCAACAGCAGCTTATTGAACGTTTTATCWGGAAGTATTGAGATCAACTGGGAGCGTGTCAGTGGTTCAGAGGAATAATTTGTTGTAAATAGGATGCCTCTGGAAAAAAAAACAGTCTCAGTGATAGCTCAGGGGTTTAATACAGAATGAGGCAACTAGTGTACCTAAAAGCTCATTTTGAATGTCRCCTAAAAATGTCACGTGGAAGAAATGAAAGCAACACAGGCAGGCACCGTACAACGCGAGGTTTTTATTCTCTGCTTTCATTTTGAAGTTTGACTTAAAAGTTTTAAAGCCATGTTTTTGTGAGGGAGATCATGTACGGGTTTGACCGGCTTGAAAGCATCGCAAAATAAGATATTTTATTGGACAACTTGTGTTTCAGTTCACAGGGCTTCTTTCTGAGGTATTAAAAAAAAAGATAAATCCACCCGTAGACTGATGGTTAAAAAAAAAAAAGAGGAGATTAACTCTGCGTTTGTGTGTAAACAAGACTGGAGCCACGCAGAGATAAAACACTCTCTGATTATAACTGTGCTGAATGTCTGGGTTCATACTGTGTTCTAGTTTAGCACTGAAACACTCATTTTATCCTTTTTCTTTTTTTTTCTTTGTGTACTGGGGGAAAGAATAAGCTCCAAACTCCAACTGAAAGTTGACTTTTTTTAAAGATTTTTTTTTTACTAAATTATCCAAAAACTAAATGAAAGRGGAATTGTTTTTGTAAGAGCTGCGTTCTTGATCAGTAATACGACTATCCCCATGATAGTATGGCAAAAAAACATACGTGCTTAAAACAGAAAGGGAAATCTGTGTTTTGTAGATTTTATTTATTTATTTATTTATTTTGCAGCAGWAGATACGAACAAAATTCACAAAATTCACGAGTGGTCCAGACCTGTCGTATATTTTACGAGCAGTCAGTCTGCTGTTATCCAGATGGGTTTTCTTCACTAATAACTTTATATTTCATTAGTTTGAAGATATTTCGAGTTGAAAATAAATCAAACTCTATAATTATGTTGACAATAGACTATTTTGTTTGAATTAGAATTATAAATGTAAATGTAATAATGTAGACTAACAACATGAATTGGTTAAATTAAAATAAATTGGCTATAAAGTACAATATTAATATGAAGTTAATTGAAGTTTTGAGACATTTTAAAATGCTTTTTTTTTTTTTTCAGAAATGCATCTGACACTTGAAAGCAGATACTTTCTACAGCTGACGCTGCTAAAATTTACTTTTTTTTTATCTCCGAGAACAGAACTTCAATCTCTGAACTATTTCTTTTTTACTTTGCGATGTCATTTATGAATGGACACGTCCTGTTATGTGGGGCAGGAAACGTATATCCTTAAATGGTGTTTGTAGGGTGGTACAGTAATTATGCTAATCTCCTCTGCTCGTGTGCGAGCACCTGGATACGCATTCATCAGTTTACGCTCCTCATTTACACACTTTTCCCGAAGATAGAAGAGTTTGTTGAACCTGACGTGACATGTTGGTATGAACTCTTCGTATGAACAAAAAGTAAGAGAAATTTAGGAGAAGAATACAAACATGTTCTTGCATGAGGCCCATTGATTCAATAACATTTTGTCAACATTGGTTATTTGGCTAGAATTGGATGATTCACCATCAATCGTCAACCTTAACCAAAAATCAACTTTTTTGGCCATAATTCAACATTGAATTAACATCTTTTGCTGACGAGGCTTGGCAATAAATCTTACATTGTTGCCAAGATGCTTTGTTACAACTGAGAAATAATATATCAAATGCAGATTGATTTATGTTCAGTGATAAGTTTATATTTGATAAGTTTACATCATAATAAAAACCAGGGATAGGGTTAGGTGTTAAATCTCTCTCGATGACTCCTCGACCACCTCATCCAGCGACTGGGCAGTTGAAATGAGGAGCCGAAGGTTATGCACCGGCCGGCGCACGTGTCTCAGTAGCTCCTCTCTCCTAAGGTCAAACCCAAGCCAGAGAAAAAGGTAAATAAAGTTAGATGCAAGTTTTCTGTGATGGTTGTTTCAGTCGTTGGTCAGTTAATGAACTGATTTAGGACGCATCATCAGTAGTGAACCTTGGGTTCCCTGGGTGTTTCGACCATTACCACTACACACCCTCACCCAAGGGTGGCCCAGACAAGGTCGATCAAGCCTTGCTGTGTGTCAAAAGAGCCAATATAGTTGATTTGTCCTTGATACAACTTAGGTTTAGATCTTAAGTCACTAAGATTAGGTTTTAGGAAAAATGACCAGGGCTAGGGTAAGGTGGGCCAGAGTCTCAAGATTGCTTTAATCTGTCAAACTAAGGTAATCAGGCAGTCTCATTAGTGTGAGGAATAAAACCACGAAGGAAAGTTTTGAAGAAAATGACCTGGGCTAGGGGGATCCATGATTAGTTGTAACATTTTACTTTATTTGATAAACATATATTTTAACTGTAAAATAAAGACTGTAATAATACTGTAGGCTGTTTAGTTTTTATAATGTTTAAACTAGAATTTTAAAAATATATTACCCGGACAGGGCCATTTTATTTACACACAAAGCATTCTGGGTAAATGATGACGTGGATAGGTCCTCGGTGTGAGCGAGCTATATCCACCCTGAAGGTTAATCTTGGACAATATCTGATGATCGACTCTTTTAAATGAAACCAGAGAGCGTTGACAGAGAGGAGAAGGTAGAAATGACTCAGCCTGGAACGTTGGTTACGTATTGTAACCCCAGATTCTATGAGTG